TGACTTCACAAATTCAAGGATTTTTGTCAATTGCCCTCTGTGTTCCATATTCCTGTGATCACGGCAAGGACAGACTGAAAAAAGAGACCAAGAGGAGAATAAGAAGGCCTTCAAAGAAAGGCCAACGGGAAGGATGCCTGGCTGGTTACCTAGGATATAAAGCAGAGCCTGCACGTAATTGGCTGGCTTTTCAGCAGAATTTCAAGAAGCAAACAGCCCCTGGCAATGACAGAGAGTGTGTGCGCTAAGTACTGGGGGCACCCCTTCCTTTGTTTTTTTATTATCTTCTACTGCCCAGCAGGAGATTGAGCTGAGAATGGTTTTCGGGAAGTTGCTCTTCAGCGGCTTTGTCCTGATTCACCTCCAATCCTCCTCCTTATCCCGGTTAAGCCCATCTGAAAAGCTGACAGCCCCACAGCATCTCTCTACTGCAGCATCCAGGCCTGCTGATCCTTCTCTTCCCACCGTTACACACACACACACTCTCCCTCTCTCACACATACTCACACCTGCACACTCACTAGCTGTAGAAATTAACATAGAAACGGCCCCCACAGAAACTTGCTGGGTGCCCAAACAGAGTTCATACAACCACATTCAAATTCCTGTTCGGGTGCCTCACTCTGCTCTCCACCTTGGCCAGGGATCCTACTCAGCTCCTGCGTCACAGGCTGAACGTTACAGTGTTGATGTTTTCACTTATAATTATCTGAGGCCCCAGCATTAGGAAGCCCCCTCTACAGGTGGAGAAGTGCAGAGAGGGCAATTACTTGCCCAGAGTCACACAGCAGCTCAGGGGCAGTGCTGGGATTTAGATCTCAACTCCCCGACAGTCAGTCCCTGGCTTGCCCCAACCAAGACACTGCCAGGCCTGGGGCTGGCTCTAGTTTTGCAAGAGGAGCTGGAAATGAGGCGAGGTTTCATCTAATTTCAGTAGAGACTTCAAAAAAAGTAAAAAATAAAAAAGAAAGAAAAAGAAAACGGCAAAGATGCACCTCTAAACTCCCAGATACTCCCTCAAACCCAGCTAACCTGGCAGGTTCAAAGTCAGGCCTGTTGTCTTCACTCCAAGCCCTTGCTGGAATTCCAACAAATGAGTAGGCTTTGAAGGTCAGGCTGGGCAAGTACTTTTTCCATAGGCAAAAAACAATAGTCCAGCCCTATTTTTAGACGAGGCGTTTGAAGAATACAGTCCCTCATCTCGGATATGCTTATTAAGTTACTCCTCTAAGTAAATTCCAAAAGAGATAACTGTCCTTTTAGACTCAACGGCAAGCTAAAAAACAAGCACATACCCTAGGATGTCTGCCTTCCAGGGCAGAGTGAATGCTTCTTTGCCTATAGATGATGACATCCCTCTTCTTTTAGTATTAAATTTCTGCAAATTTAGGGGCCCTGTGATTTCTTGGTTGCAGAATGAGTCATCCATTACTTAGGACCTGAGGCAGAGGAAATTTCTCTGTAGACTGGGGATGGGAGTGGATGGGTCAGGGGTACACATTCATTTCACACAACTTCCTTGTCTGAGCTTAAATCTGGAGGAGGTGTGAATTCTGGGTGCTGCATTTGTTTAAAAAAAAAAAAAAACAGACACACACAGAGTAATGCCACATCCAAATCGGGTCATGGCAAAACTGTGCCTCGTGACCACCTCCTTTTTTTACTTCTGTGCTTTACCCCTGTCTTTTAAAGTCAAAATTTCACTTCTAAAATGGGATTGGCAGGGTATGCAGAGGCAGAGTGCCAGCATCTCTTTCCTTAAGAGTTACGACGTCTGTCTGTCAACAAGCCCGCAGATCTAGGGACAATGAAATAAGCTTCTAGAGAAGAAATAATGTGGAAGAGAAAAGAGCCACATGTCTATCTCTAAACAGGATGGCAGAAGACAGCCCTGAGAGAGAAGAGGAGTACCCAGAAATACCGTGTGGCTTTCCAGGCGGAAATCTGCTGTTTCTACTGGCCCAGCATCCATGATCCTTGCTTTTGATAAATGCATCTCATTTTCTACTGAGGCAGCAACCATAGAGATTTGTCACCCAGGCCTGGTCGGTCCTGAACATCTCTAGGCGTGGAGGTGGACCAAGCCAGGCCCACTGTATCCACAAGCATTGGCCCCAGGACTTCAGTGGCAGCCACAGGGAAGGAGAAGCCCTCTCTCCACTTGCTGGCCAAGTTGGCAGGACATGAGCACACCTTGGCCCAGTCCTGTCCCAGCTTCCCAGGAACATGAACAATAAACACCCTCTTTGCTTAAGCCAGTCTAAGTTGGATTTCTAAATCTTGCAATCACAAGTACCAACTTATCTTCACTTAAAAGAAAAGTGATTGTGTGAATTATATTTTCTATATTCATCATTTCCAGATGGGGACAATGAAGTCCAGAGCTTTAGGAGGCCATCCAAGGCACACAATAAACCTAGACACTGAGACAGGACCACGAGGCAGACCTCACATCATCTAGGCACTGCCCAGCATCTACTCTGTTCTCTGGCATGCAGTGTAAATGAGGAAATCTGCCTGACACCCTTCCAACTCACAGGGATTAACAGTTGTGTAGTTTTATCCAAACACAGATACTGTCTAAAGAGAGAACACTCACCAACTACACCTTCACATTTATGAATAATCAAGAGAGCAAATATGTGATTCAGAAAGCTCCAGAATACAAGTGCTGTTGCCTGGCAGGACCTGCTTATGAAAGTTGTATTGATTTATGGTGAGCTGAGTGACAAAATGACAGACACATCGTATTTTGAAATGACTAATGTGCTCAAGAAACTAACTAGAAGGGCATCAAAATTGCAGAGGGGGTCATGGAGAGCCATGCGTGACTGAGTCCTGAAGCACCAACTGTCCAAGCAAAGCCTCTGGGGAAGATTCCTGGGTCCTGTATGGCATGACCTGGCTGAGTAACCACCTGGAAAATAGGCTTTTGGAGGCAGCAGAAATTCCTTCCCTCATACCCTGCACAGGGCAGCTGGGCGCAGCTTCCAGGAGCCCCTACTCAAATCTAAGCAGTTCAAGCTGAAACAGCAGCCTGCAGAACTGGCCTGAAGCCCCTGTGTTCCAGGACTGGGCCGCCTGGCTGACAAATTTGATTGTGATTTTGGGTCCAAGCCTGCCTGATCCACACCACAGTTAGTCACGGCTGAGGCCTGGTTAGAGAGCGTCCTTAAAAGGACTGGAAGGAAAGAGGTAGCATCTTTAAAAAACAAAATTGATGAAAACACAGTGCACAAAATGAGGTGAAGATGTCCATTTATCCCCCAGTGTGGCAACAGAACGGTTAACCATAGGGCTTAGGCAGACAATTTTCTTCTGCATAACAACAAAATAATCAGAATGTCCCCAATAAGCAAATCGGTATGGCTTACCTTGTGTTTGGCCCTCTCCTCCCCACCACAGTGATATTTACTGGCAAAGGCTTCCCAGGCCAAAAATGAATTTCTAAACCAAAATGCCTACTGCACACTTTAAACAGAAATAAGAGAAGGCTGGAGATCTCAACCTTAAAAAGAGGTCTGGGTGGTACCAGAGGGACATTTTGGTTAGTTACCAAAATGTGATCATGGTATTCACTGACAACTGCCAAGAAAGACATGATGGGGCAAGCGAGGTGGTGACGGGGTCGTGCTTTGGCGGTGGAATCTCAGGCAACTCCCACAGGCAAATGAGCTCTCAGTCACTGATGGAGTGAGTGGCTCTGTGTTACAGCTTCACATGTCCTGGACTGGGAAGCTCACGCAGTCCTTGCTGACAGGGCTGTGGAGAGCTGGCTGCAGAGCAGCCACTGTGAACCCAAGGCACAGGGGGAGGGCTCACAGGAAGTGTTCCCCACACCCACAGGGACCGTGGCTAGGCTGCTGAGGAGATGCCAAGTTTATCCCAGAAGGCGTGGTCAGACCTTCCCGAGAAGGGCCCCGGCTCCTCTTCTACCAAGTATCAGACTCCTCATCACTTCCCGCGGCCCAGCCCTAGTGCCCAGGACCACAGGCACAGACCCCATCTGTGTAGCTGTGAGCCTGGCCCATGACACAAGCAATGGGGCACTTTCAGTATGCTTAATCCCAAAGTAAATAATCTCCAGTTCAAGAAAGTTCTAGCGTCTCAACGAGAGGGAGGTGAAAACCTGAACAGAATTCCCAAGAAGGGCGAAAAGAGGAATGAATGATTTTGCTTACTGAGCACATACGTACTACACATGAGTGTACCTCATTCTAAACAGACAGGACCTAAAAAACCTTAATGTAAGAACTGAGGGAGTTATATTTAATTTTTCAGTATTTTAAAGATACTAAAAGAATACTTCTTTTTTTTTTGGTAGAGTCGGGGTTTTGCCATGTTGGCCAGGCTGGTCTCAAGCTCCCAGGTTCAAGTGCTCCTCCCACCTTGGCTTCCCAAAGTGCTGGGATTGCAGGTGTGAGACAATGCCCCTGGCCTACAAGCATATAATTTCATTAAACACAAGTCCTCCTTCTTCCCGCAGTGTGCAGAAAGCAAATTATAACCCCAGGTTATCGGGAATAATTGTATCGGCAATGAGGATAAAGATAATAATTCCACACTGCTCCTACTGTCATAATAGTGACGGATACTTCTGCAGCGTCCAATCCTTTGCAGTATTTAACATGGGGCCAGGCACTGTTTGGAGCACATTGCACATATTCATACATTTAATTATTGTATGAACACTACAAAGTGGGTACTATTTGTCACTCGCCTTTTCCAGGTGAGGAAACCTGGCCCCAGGTCACACATCCCATGAGGGTGGAACTTGCACTGGAGCTGCGTATGACACACACCCACAGCAGCCTCCGAGTGGCAGGGCTGTATAGAATGAGGTACACCAGTGTGAGGAAGGAACCGAATCACTGGCTAGACACTGGGGGGAGCAGAAGTCGGGGTGGAGAGGGCACAGGTGGCAGCCTCGCTGGCGGGCAGGCTGGCTGGTGGGCTGGCTGGCGGCGCAGGCGCAGGGCGGCGTTCACGGGGACACTCACCTTCACTCTCCCCACTCGTCTTGCTGCCTTTTGAACCACCCTCTGTACCTTTAGCCTTCTCGGCGTCTTCTTGGGCATCCTCAGCGGGCCCTTTCTCCTCATCTTCTTCTTCCCCAACGTTTTTGTAGTTGGGTCTCTTTTGCACCCGTCTCTTGCCCTTGTGCTTGTTCATCTCAAGGGACCGCTCGAGCGTCTCGGTGGGTTTAATGAAGCACCGAATGCTGGGCTTGGCCTACGGAAGTCCAACAAAGGCAACAGGTGAATTCAAACACTGGAATCCTGCTGGATGCTATCAAGTTGCCCAAAAGTTTCTGTCCTAAGAAACTAATCTCCAAAAGCAACCACTCTATCAAAAGATAGCTGCATTCGCATGTTTACTATAGTGGCACTATTCACAACAGCAAAGACATGGAATCAGCCTAAGTGTCCACCCACAGAGGACTGGATAAAGAAAATGACTTGTATATACATAATGGCATAGTATACAGCCCTAAAAAATTAGGAAACCATGTCTTTTGCAGCAACATGGGGACCATTATCTTAAGTGAAATAACTCAGACACTTACTGCATATTCTCATAAGCAGGAGCTAAATAATATGTGCACATGGCAGCAGAGTGTGGGATGATGGACAACAAGACTGGGAGGGGTGGTGGAGTCGGAAGGGGTGGATGATGGGAGGGTGCTGGGCGGGTCCAGTGTGCAATACTCCAGTGATGGATGCACTGAAGGTCCTCACTTCACCGCAATGCAATTCAACAACCTGGCAAACCTGCCTTTTTACCCCACGAATACAGACAATAAAAACATCTCTTAATACAGGCAATTAATCTCCAAAACAAATGCCACCTCCAGATCTATTATTATGCCCATTATTAACATCATCATCAAACAACCAAAACAACAGTGCCAGCTACCATTTCCTGCCGACTGTCCTGAGCCAGAAATGGTACATTTTACCAGCAGCAGCTCTGCACTCCCCAAACGTTAACTGTTTGTGTAAGGAAAACACTTCTGATGAACACTTCTATGGTACTTTCTTATGTGCCAGACACTGTTCTAAGGCTCTGACTGATCTCATTTGAACTTTACAGCAACTCTATTAGATATTACCACATCATCCTCATTTTACAGGTGAAGAAACTGAAGCACAGACAGAAAAGACAGAAACTGAAGCACAGACAGAAAGGGATCTGCCTGAGGTCACACAGCCAGGAGGTGGCAGAGCTGGGATTCAAAACCACGTACCAGCCACACAAGCTGTGTCTTTGCTATAGCACACTGATATTATTGATTTTAACCCAAATAAGTTCATTTTAAACAAAACTATCACTACAGGAAATGGAACACTAGTATGCCTTACTATTATATTAGATGCAGATAAATAACCAGAAAGAAAAAGCCAGGTGTAGAGGGTACAGTCAAATTCTAGGTACTTAATAGGCTCTTACTAGAAATGGAGCCTAGTAAGTATCAGCAATAAGTAAAAGATCAGCTCGCCCCAAATAATGAAGTTTTTCCTTAAATAAAAGTCAGAGATGGCTAGGTGTAGTGGCTTATGTCTCTAATCCCAGCATTTTTCGGGGCTGAGGCAGGAAGACTGCTTGAGGCCAGGAGGTCAAGGCGTCAGTGAGCGAGACCGTGCCACTACACTCCAGCCTGGGTGAAAGAATGAGGCCAGTGTCAACTATCTCAGTCTTTGTAATAACCACAATATATAGGAACGATCAGTCCCAGTTTATCGTTGAGAAAATAGAGATGCAGAAGGTTAAATAACTTGTCCAATGTCACACAGCTACTGAGTTGAAGTCTGAATTTGCATTGGGACTTCCTGGGGCTTGCCAATTTCAAAGCTCACACTCTTCCTAAAGTAACAGTGTTTCACCAGAAGCTCAAACTTGGTTCCACATGTAATACTCTTTAAAGAGGAATGTCAGGTATGGTAGCTCAAACCTGTAATCCCGGCACTTTGGGAGACCCAGGTGGGAGGATCACTTGAGCTAAGGATTTCAAGTACAGCCTAGGTAACATGCAGAAACCCCATCTCTACAAAAAATAGAAAAATTCGCTGGGCATGGTGACGGGCACATGTAGTTCCAGCTACTCGGGAGGCTGAGGTAGGAGGATTGCTTGAGCCCAGGAGGCAGAGGCTGCAGTGAGCCAAGATGGTGCCACTGCATTCCAGCCCAGATGGCAGAGTGCGACCTTGTCTCAAAAAACAAAATAAAAGAAAAAAAGAGTATAGACATGTAAACAGACCAGAAAGGAGCAAAAGACAGACGAAAACTGATTTGTTTAAGGCAGGATTTTGATTGAAGTGTTTTTCTCCTTCCAGAGTCTGAATGTTCAGACATCATTTTGTCATTTAAAAAGTTTTAAAATAAACTTTTCCATTATCTCGATATGGATTATCAATCTGAATTTACTCCAAACAACTACAAATTATATTCTGGGGGCCACCATACCTTGCCAATAAATGGAAATGTGCTTAAGAAACACACATTAATTTCAATAACGCTCAAAACGAAACCTAATTGAAAGCTGAATTAGCATCCAAATACAAACATTAATTTTTATTTGCCCACTGTGGATTATTCAACCACAAAAAAATGACAGATAAACTGAGACATGATTCTACTGTCCAGGAAATCCTGATAGCGTATTACAGACACCAACAACCGAGGACCCCGAGATGGGAGCATTCCAAGCATGCACTGTTTGACAGACTGCATCCATCATAGCCCGCTTAGGATACTGGGTGATCAAACGCAGCATAGTTGCCCTCTCAACTTCTCCTGAAGCATCCAAACCCAGGAAGTTAGCTTCCTCCCATCACTCCCAACTCCTAGTGAATTTCAGAGCTGGCCACACAGCAATGAAGCTTTCAGAAACAGAAAATCGAGACCAACTGCAGGGAAAACGTGCCCTAGTTTGAAGCTATGAGCAGAAATTCACACAGACAGATGTAGAAACCCCTCCCTAAGCTCTGTGTGGACTCAGACGTACAGAACAAACTGGCAGAACTGGTGAAGTGAAACTAAGTGCTCAGCTCCTGGGGCTGGCCAAGTGGTGTGAACCTCCATCCAGCTGGCCCGTCCTTAGCCTTAGGTTGCTGTTCTAAAACATGGGGAGAGTAATTTTGGCCTCCTAGAACCAAAGGAACTCATGGATATGAAGTTCCTTCAGAGGCTGGGCATGGTGGCTCACACCTGCAATCCCAACACTTTGGGAGGCGGGAGGCCCAGGCAGGTGGATCACCCGAGGTCGGGAGTTCGAGACCAGCCTGGCCAATACAGTGAAACCCCATCTCTACTAGAAATACAAAAAATTAGCCAGGTGTGGTGGCAGGTACCTGCAGTCTCAGCTACTCAGGAGTCTGAGGCAGGAGAACTGATTGAACCCAGGAGGTGGAGGTTGCAGTGAGCCAAGATCATACCCTTGCACTCGAGCCTGGGTGCGACAGAGCGAGACTCCATCTCAAAAATTAAATAAAAAATAAAAAAAAGGAGTTTCTTCATAGAGTGCTAAAACAGTGAGCGTCCAACACAAAACGTCACCTTCTTTTCCCTGCCTACATCTACAAAGAGAAAAAGAAAAAAATCAGCTGCAATAATGAATTTTAAAACTTTCCAAAGGGATCTGCTTTTCTCAGTGATCAGGTGTCTGTTGTGGGAGGGCGTGCTTACTGGGAAATTTCAAACCTTTCTAACACGACCTTCCAGTAAACAACTGGAAATAACCTAAATGTCCATTGATAGGGGAGTTGTTAGGTAACTATCATCTGTTTGTAGAAAGAGTGGGAATCTAGAAGGACTGGGGCCTTTTTATTCCTAGATATCCTGGTGCAGACACAGCACCAGTATGAAAAAGCAAGACCAGAGTATGCGGTAGGGTCCCTTTCAGGTGAAGTTTTTCAAAGGTGACACATCATGGTGTAAACATGACGTTTCCTGGAGAGATGCCTAAGAATATATTGGCATCTTGGGGGAATAAAAAAAAGCAGTGACACTGTGTACACACCCACACAAGCACACTTTTATTTTTTAGACCTTGTGGTTTGTGATTTCTAATCATGTATACATATTAACTTTATTTTAAAAATTCAGCTGGGCATGGAGCTCATGTCTATAATCCCAGAACTCTGGGAGGCTGAGAGGGGAGGGCTGCTTGAGCCCAGGAGTTCAAGACAAGCCTGGGCTACACAGTGAGACCCTGCCTCTAAATACATAAATATTTGGACATTGGGGTTATGGGTGATTTTTGCTTCCTTTTATTCTATATTTTTAAAACCTGATTTTTTTTTTTTTTTCTTAATGCTAACACCAAAACATCACAGTTAGCATGGAGAAGCTGTTAAGAATTTGGCTGGGAATTGTGGGCAGAGATGTGTGACCATTCTGCTGCTCCTGTCACCCTCCTTCCGGCTGCTGTCCTCCCCAGAATGCTCGAATTGCACTGGACAGTCCAGGATGCTCCAGTCTGAAGCCCCCAGGAGAAGGGTCTCTGTCCCCGCTCTCGCCACTGTGTTCCCAGCTCTACTCCTAGACCAGAGCAGAGGCCAACAGGCTGTTGCTGAGTGAGCTCATGGCTATAGGAATGAATGTTTGTATGAGGCTGTGCCCAAAGGGAAAGACAGAATGATGAAAAAAGGAGAAGAAAGGGAAGGGAGGGACGGAGGGGGAGAAAAGCCGAACACTCTTAGGAGCTAAACTTAGCACAATGAAAGAGCAAGCTCGCCCAAACTAACCAGAAGTAGAAAAGCCCGTAAGAAATCAGAAGGCCTTTGCGCTGATTTTCTCACAAAGAAAGAACACAACACATGCCCCAGAGGAAAGTATTCCCCAAACAAGGTCTACATTTCCCCAATGCCACAGGTTTAGGTTTCACCAAGCGCTCATCTCCCAGGTGCCTGAGGCTGGGCTGCAGGAGGAGCTCAAACGGAACGAGGCTCCCTGCTGACTGCAGTGAAACACAAGGAGCCTTGAGCTCTGCAGCTGGATATTTGGGCTGGCTTCTGGGGTCATGGCCAGCTGACAGTCAGCAATGACATTTTAGAGGTGCCCCAGGGCCTAACTACTCCCTAAGTATCTGTACCTGCCTGCTGGTGACGGATGTCTTCCATCAGCCTTGAACCCCTTCACCTAAAAAGTTTTGGTCCTTGCTTTTTCAAAAGGCAAATACTTTGGGGAAGGAGACTCCCCAGGGATCAGTCTTTCAGAGAATAGAGGAATCT